CATATTCCACTCTAAGAAAGGATTTTAATGTACTTTTATTTTTGTGTTATCTATTTTCCTCTATTTATCGAAAATAATAATAATTTTTAAAGATTCTAAAAAAAAAAAAAAAAAAAGTTGAATGAAGAAATTTTAAATTTTTTTAATTTAAAACGAGAGAAAAATTATAGTTTGAAAAAAGTGAAATTTTAAAAAGAATGAAATTATATTGCAGTCCAAAACAATTTTCCGGTGATAAGCGTCGTCTAGAAGGGAACTTCATATATTTCTTCGTTTACTCATGGTGAAAAATTTCTCCGATCGAGTGTCGGATAGGAAGGGAGAGAAAATGATGTTGAACGGAGCAGAAGACGAGGACAAATGGCTGGCGGAAGGGATCGCCGGCATCCAACAGAACGCCTTCTACATGCATCGCGCTTTGGTATCTTCAGATCGCTGAATTCTTACGACTTCGCAAAATCAAACTGTGTTCATCAGTTTGTAAACCTAATTCACTCTCAATTGGATCTGTATTGTTTCAGGATTCGAATAATCTCAGAGAAGTTCTCAAGTACTCAGCTCAGATGCTATCGGAGCTACGAACTTCGAAACTTTCTCCTCACAAATACTACGAACTCTGTATATTTCTACTTTAGCTTTATTCATCATTTGATTTTTGAAGGATTTTAATGTTTTGACTGTGATTGGAATTTGATTTCTGAATTGGATTTAGATATGCGAGCCTTTGATGAATTGAGGAAGCTGGAGATGTTCTTCAAAGACGAAAGCAAGCACGGAGTATCAGTCGTGGATCTCTATGAGCTCGTTCAGCATGCTGGCAACATTTTGCCTCGACTGTAAGTGACTACGATTGTGTTATGGAACCGTTTTTATTGTGTTACGTAATTTTCAATTACATTTGTTCTATAAGCAGATTTGATGTTCGTTTTATGGCCAACTTTGATCCTGTTTACTTCCTTGCATTCCTCTGATTTCATAGTGATCTTTTGTCCATAATTATTGGTTTACATGCTGATTTAATGAATGCATTCCTTTTGAATGATTTGTATATTTACTTTCTTAGCTTTTCCGGCACTGTTTTCCGGTCTTTCAAAGAATTGTATGCACAAATCTTCTGGATCAGAATCTTACCTTTTACTGGAGATCACTCATGGTGTTTTAATTGAGATATGATAGATTTTTGTGTCTTGTTTGTTGCAAGAAAGACTACAGCAGTTTCATTCTTTAGGTTGCATTAATTAAAACACCTGAAATATTCAGATTCTTCTTAATCTTGCTACCGAATCTTGCATATTCATTTTAAAGCTATTATCTCATGTTTTCTGTACATAAGCAAACAACCTTTCATCATTTTCTAATAGAGTTTAAATTCTTTGTATAAAAAAAAAATCTGTTTGCATATTTTCAATTATTATCTCTCACTTGTCCCTGTATTTGAAGTTCCCTTTGTTAATCTACCAGGTATCTCCTATGTACAGTAGGGTCTGTGTACATCAAATCTAAGGAGGCTCCTGCCAAGGATGTTCTTAAAGACCTTGTAGAAATGTGTCGTGGTGTACAGCATCCCATACGTGGACTCTTTTTACGTAGTTACCTTGCTCAAATCAGTCGAGACAAGTTACCTGATATTGGTTCGGAGTATGAAGGGTAAGATAAAGCTCCTTTTGCTTCCTTTTTCTAGTAAGGTCTTATTGACCAAACCATCCCAAATAAAATCCTACATCCAACTCAACTTAGGCAAGGCTAGAGATCAAATAATAGGGGGTGGTTACCAGACTCTTTTTGCACTATTCACTGTATGATCTATGTACTGTTCTAACTCCAGGGTCATGATGTTCCCATTCGTCTTCCTTTCCATGTCTTTCTGATATCAAATAGGCATTTAAATTTCTTTATCACATACAGATCTTGTTATTTGGTTTCTGCTCTTTCATATTTATATTACGATGTCTGAAGAATTTGAAAATGATTTCTTGATCAACTACCTAATAAAACCCTCTTGTAGAGGTGCTGACACCGTAATGGATGCTGTAGAATTTGTGTTGCAAAATTTCACTGAGATGAATAAACTTTGGGTGCGACTGCAGAATCAGGTTTGTTGAACATTTTTGAACGCCTTATCATTTTGGGACATGCACTTGCACCGCACCAAGGTACTTGCATGCCATAGAAGTAAAAGTGAATCATGAGAGCATGAATTTTGGCCATGCAGGTGTTCTGGTGCGTGTGAGTCATTCTTTCTTTGGTGATCCTGAGTTGAAGTCTTCAATTGGGATTTCTGCTCTGCAGGGACTGGGTAAACTTAGAGAGAAGCGGGAAAAGGAACGCAGTGAACTTCGAGATCTTGTAATGTCCATAATGTGAAACCATCAATTAGACATGATAGTGAAGCATACCTCTATTGGAAACTTACGGTTCTATTTTGAACTTTATCACCAGGTAGGGAAAAATCTCCATGTTCTCGGTCAGATAGAGGGGATAGATCTTCAGATGTACAAAGACACTGTTCTTCCTAGGGTCTTGGAGCAGGTGCTTTTAGTTCCTTTCTCTATTTTTTGTGTTCAAAGACATATAGGTTTAAGATGGCTCACTGATTATGTTTCAATTTTGCCTGGTGATTTGACTTTACAGGTTGTGAACTGCAAAGATGAACTTGCTCAGTATTATCTGATGGATTGTATAATTCAGGTGTTTCCTGATGAGTACCACTTGCAGACTCTTGAGATTTTATTGGGTGCATTCCCTCAGCTTCAGGTTGGTAACCTGACCTTCACTGGCTGTTGATCTCCCTCAGATCTTGTCTATAAATTGCTCTTCAGAGATCGCTTAGTGTTTAATCGCATGCTCTAGAAATTGGAATGATTTAGAACCTAAGTAACTGCCTTCACTTTTGTCATAGTTGTCTGCATGGGCATATTTTCTTGGAGTGTCTATGCTTGAAAGAATCCCATCAGCATACTTGCTTTTTCATGATACTATACATAACAGGAAAATTGATATATAGTGAACTAGGAATCTAAATAAGTTGCTATACAATCTGGTGAGTGCACTTATTCTGACCCCTCACAGATGCCACCTATGGCTTGTGTGCTAGCCACTGTAATTTTTTCATTATGAGTTCGTAGTAACTATTCTCTATATGGATGGCAGGCTTTCATTGCTAAAATCTACCATGTGTTTCCTTGATTTCTAGATACAGCAATGAATAGGAAGATTGTCTTGTCTACATAATTTCTCACCTTTCCCCATCCCCTCCCTTGAACATATGTAAATGGGATTGCCCACATCAATTATTTATTTAAATTCTTATATTTGCTTTTAGCATGTTCTGTTGTCATATACATTTTTCTTTATCTCAGCCAACAGTTGATATCAAGACTGTGTTATCTCAACTAATGGAGAGACTGTCAAATTATGCTGCTTCAAATCCAGAAGTAAATTATCAGCTTCCAAACTTTGTCTATCATTTTTTTCTTTTTGCATTTTGTTTACCATATTTTTCTGTCATATTTACATTTTCCAGGTTTTGCCTGAATTTTTGCAAGTTGAAGCCTTTGCCAAACTGAGCAGTGCTATTGGGAAGGTAAGCAAGTGTTAACCTTGACATTTCAAGCATTCCTCAAATTGATATATGTGCAATATTCCAGAGGAACTTATAATTTGAAGAACTAGGAAATGCCTTAGTATTTTGATGTGTGCCACATAAATGAACTAGGGAATGACCCTGAGCCTACTGCTAACTTCAGTTGCATGATGACAACCTATTAAGTTACCACATACTAGTATTTCTTATTCTTTCTGGATAAGATGCCTCATCTAGCGTCTGAAGTTGTTCCGGGAGTTGATTGAATGTGATTTGCAGGTGATTGAAGCACAAGTTGACATGCCTATTGTTGGAGCAATAACTTTGTATGTCTCCCTTCTTACCTTTACTCTTCGTGTTCATCCTGATCGGCTTGATTATGTTGATCAAGTATTGGTATGTCTCTAGAAACTCATTTTCTTATTTATGTCTTTCATTACCCATAATTGTTTTTCTTCTTTTCTTTTTTCCTTTTTTTTTTTTTTGAATTTTATGGGATTTGAAATAAATGCCTGCTCCTTATGTAGCCATGCAACATCTATGGCTTCTTATACTCTTAGCTTGCATTAGACAAGGTTTGTAACAGTCTTGATGGTCCCTTTATGGAAATCCAGGGAGCATGTGTTAAGAAGCTTTCCAGTGGACAAAAGCTTGAAGATAGTCGGGCAACAAAACAAGTGGTTGCTCTTCTGAGTGCTCCATTGGAGAAATACAGTGATATTGTATCGGCCTTGACACTTTCAAATTATCCACGTGTCATGGACCACCTTGATAATGGAACAAACAAAGTTATGGCTATGGTTATTATTCAAAGCATTATGAAAAACAACACATGCATTTCAACTGCTGATAAGGTATGTTTCTGTATTTCCTATGATTAATGATATTAAGTCTTTCTCTTGAAGAGAGTGGTTAACATGTGTTTTGTAGGTTGAGGTGTTGTTTGAATTAATAAAAGGGCTCATAAAGGATCTGGACGGAACTGGTGTGGATGAGGTCTGTCCCAAAATTTTCCCTTTGGATAAAGATTTGAATTATATGAATTATATGAATTATCTGAGCACTCTTCACTTTGCATTTCTTAATTTTTAGTAGTTTCTTTACTTTATCCCCCAATTACAATTTTTTATCCCTTTTTTTGGGGACTCTTAAAGTTGTTGCTTCAGTTAAAAACATATAATGCCTCTCTCTTCTCATGTTCTTTTCAATAGCTTGATGAGGAGGATTTCAAGGAAGAACAAAATTCTGTTGCTCGCCTCATACACATGCTTTATAATGATGAACCACAGGAAATGTTGAAGGTAAGTAGTCAATATCCTGAATGTTTATGGATGCTAAAGATACTGGGGAAGTTATGCCAGTTTTTGCCTTATTTGTATAGCATAATTAGAAGATAAAGAATTTAACTTTCAAAATGTTCTGCTTTGCCTTCTTTTCAATGCTTACACACTTCTCATAAAATTTAATTACCAAAAACTACAGATTTTTTAGTTTAAGATAATTCTTTCTTCAAAGCCTGGAGAATTAAGAACCTACTGGTGATACAAGTGCTTGTTTAATACTTCTATGTATTCTGCAACTCTTTATAGATCATACTATTGATAGTTTCTTGTTCATTTTATTGTAGCACATCTTATTGCACCATGTTTTTTCTGTTTTATTCATTAATAATTTACTTGCTCTCAGATTATCTGTACTGTGAGGAAGCATATTATGGCTGGAGGAGTGAAACGCCTACCTTTTACCATTCCTCCTCTTGTTTTCTCTGCACTTAGGGTATGCTATTCCTTTTCCAGATTGATTTGTACTCTCTACAGTTGCATGTATCTATTATTGTTGGAGAATCTATGCAACACCCTTAGGCATGTATCTCTTGTTTTAAAACCTTAAGTGGACAATATTGCTAGTGGGCCAGGCTGTTACAATCTACGTCTATGATCAAGGTTCAGTAACAAAACTAAATGATATGGATGCCTACTGATATGCCTGGATTGCATCATTAACCATTTCTGTTTTTTACCCTTCTTCTTCTAGTTCTTCTTCTTTTTTCTGGCTTGCCCTTAAAAATCTGCATGGTAAGATGAACATTTGTAATATAGTTGGCAATAAGTAAAACATAGAGAAGGGGATGCACACATTCTTTTTACTCATTCTAGCAGAGGACTTACCTCTTGTACATTTGTTGTGTATTATTAATTGCAAGAAATATTATCTTGAAAGGGGAGATAAGTCTGACTGTTTGGGAATTGTTATATTGCAGTTGGTGAGACATTTGCAGGGTCAGGATGGAGAAATAGTTGGGGAAGAGGTGCCTGCAACACCGAAGAAAATTTTTCAGCTTCTAAATCAGGTTATTCTTTTTGTTATTACACACATGTAAGGATGGTGGGCATCAGGACGTCCTTCCAATTTTTTTGGGAGTCCCAACCCTAAAACGGCCCCGTTCAATTAATATTTTAAGAAACCAATTATCAGATTAAATGTTCCATTCTAGTAGATTGTGCATGCGAATTTTCATGTTAATCTACAATCTATAAACCATTTGATTGAAGGAAGTGTATTTGCTAACATAATTTAACTTTCAAAAATTTTGTATTTTGAATGAACTAGTTAGCTATATTAGATCAATCTGAAAATTGGCATGCATGGTTTTTCAAAATATTAATGAAATGGATGGGCTGGAACTCAACATATATATATATATATTTTGAGGATGTTTTGATGCTCACTTTTGCCTATATATTATGGCTGAAGGAGCTGAATCATGTCTTAATTTTCAATATATCTTATCTCCATGCAAGTGATAACACTATCCAGCTGTTGTTTCAGACCATTGAGGCTCTTCCATCTGTTCCATCTCCTGAACTGGCTTTGAGGTTATACCTGCAATGTGCTGAGGTAATCCTGCGTCTTTACTCCATTTACCACTGAAAAGAGGTTGTTTTTGAACAGACTAAATGGGAAGCCATAAATTTCTTGAACATTAAAACTTGTGCTACTTACTGAGACAAGCCTTTTCCAAACCAAGATAAATAATACTGCAACTTTGATCTTACATGTTTTTATGACAGGCAAGGATTTGAATGGGTTCAGTGAATGACTGATTTTCTTTAATCTTTTTTACCTAGGTCCCATAGTTCTCAGATCTCATTGAAAAATGTTTGATTATATGTTAAGCCAATATCCTTATTTGTTAAGGTGGTATCAGAATCCCTGTATCATGCATGGTTTATTTGTTGTTGGTATTATGTTTTTTAACTTGAATCCTGTTTATTTCAAACAGACATCCTTAAATTTAATATTTCACATTCTAACTCTATAATGATGGTCTTCTGATAACAGGCTGCTAATGACTGTGACCTTGAGCATGCTGCATATGAGTTTTTCACTCAAGCATTTATATTATATGAAGAAGAAATTGCGGTAATAGCCATCTAGCAGTTTCTTGTGATTTAGTAACCAATTCTCCCAAAAATTGTAGTGAACGTCAGATGGTTTTTTAGTAAGATTTCAATGCTGTGAATCACCTGTATGCCTTCTAATTTTCATGTTGCATGGATGTCCATTGCTTGTAGGACTCTAAAGCCCAGGTGACTGCTATCCATCTTATAATTGGAAGTCTCCAGAGAATGAATGTATTTGGCATTGAGAACAGGGACACTTTGACACACAAGGCTACAGGGGTAACAATGCTTTAAATTATATTACCATTGTGCTTTTGGGTTTCTTTTCTGTGTCAATAGCCTAAGGGATGTTATTCTTTGTTTAGTATTCAGCAAGACTTTTAAAGAAGCCTGATCAGTGCAGAGCTGTCTACGCATGTTCACATCTTTTTTGGGTTGATGATCAGGATGGCATTAAGGATGGGGAAAGGTTTGAAGCCTCATATTTAAACTAAAAATATTTATCCTTTAATCTGAATGAATGGATTGCATTTATTAAAAATTATGGGAGGGAATCTTCTGTGATTGCAGGGTCCTACTTTGTCTAAAGCGTGCATTAAGGATTGCAAATGCTGCTCAACAAATGGCCAATGTTGCACGGGGTAGCAGTGGGCCAGTCACACTCTTTGTTGAGATACTGAACAAGTTAGTAACTTTGAGCTATATCAAACTGTACCTTCTAATACTGTGTTCAGCAGCCAGCTGTTGCTTATATATTGTAACTGTGTTTTATTCTAATGTGCTTTAGGTACCTCTATTTTTTTGAGAAAGGAAATCAACAGATAACGAGTTCTGCAATCCAAGGCCTCGTAGAATTAATCAATACTGAGATGCAAAGCGATTCCACCACCCAAAATCCTACTTCAGATGCTTTCTTTGCTAGCACATTGCGTTACATTCAGTTCCAGAAACAGAAAGGCGGCTTGATTGGTGAGAAATACGAATCTATAAAGGTGTGATTGATAAATATAATCTGAAATGCTTGAGTTAGTACATCTTTAGATATACAGAGTAGAAAAAATCTTTTTGGGTCGGGGTTGTGGGGCCTATATTTTTGCGTTAATATGCCTCCAACATGTTAGGTCCTTTGCATTGTTCTGGAGGTCTAGAGAAAGCTATTTTCTTTCATGTTATTTGATGTTTTGGTTATTGCATACTTGGGTGAGCGATTGATGAAAGGAAAAAGGTGTCAGGGGATTGATGGTATAGTTTTTTTTTTTTTTATTTGGGAACTAAGCTCTGTTTCTCTCTCTCTCTCTCTCTCTGTCTCTCTCTTTTTCCCCCAAATGCTAGTGATTTACAATATTCATTCCTAAGAATTAGAGTACAGGCATTTCCTAATTATTGCGATTTTTTTTTCTTTTTATGGTTATCTTTGGTGTCTCAAACCAATTTATCCACATTTCTCATATAATAAGATGTTAATGTACTGCTATTCCGAGATGTTATGAAGCTTTATATTTTTCTCACTTTTTCCATAATTTAAGAACAAAAAACACAGTTTTTGAAGAATATAAACTAAATATATTTTGTGGACTAAATTCAAGATTGTAATACAGATTCATTAACGGGCTCTCAACATTTATTGGGTCATTTATCTTTGGACCCATGACGTACATTATCTGGGTTGTGTCGATTTGTGAGGTTTAGATAATGGACTTATAAGCAAAGGTATTCGGAACGGGATGCAGGTCCATTTAGTCTTGAACCAATGGGACCATAGGAAGTTTCAATTAGGCCTGTTGTCCCATTTTAAGCTTCTGGGATTTGTCCAATTAAAACTTTCTATGGGCCGGATGACCCATTAAAATGTTCATAGGTTGGGCTCATGGCCCAAAAAATATCAGCCTAAATGATCCGGGATCTACCCATGGCCTCATAAAATGTTCGGATCATGACTACTGGCCCATCATAATGTTTTTTAAATTGGGTAAATGCCCACATAAAAGTGTGTTGAGCTTTTGGCTCCTTAAAAGTTTCTGCATTGGGCTTGCGGTCCATAAAAATTTCTGCAAATGTAACACGGGTGTTCGGATAGCCATTCACCTAGCAATATAATATTAGCTACTGCTTGACGCAATTGCAGGTCGTTATGATAGATTATATATATATTCAATCAACTTCCTTGGTGGTAGCTAAAGAAGTATACTTTCATAATTAAAAAATAAACGACCCTGATGTGAAAGGTAAAGTTCATCTTATATGATAGGATCATCCTCACATCTGGCTAATACATAAAGAAATTTAAACATGGAAAGTGGAGAGGGTGCACGGTAACAAGGAATGCTCATGATGAATGATAGATTCATGAGAATTAAGTAAAACAGAAAACACACCATCTGATGCCTTCACGTAAATGCCTAGTACGTAAGTCAAGACTACACACCCTGGTTTGCAGCCCCCGTGAGGAATGGAAAAGAAGACAAGACACGGATGGAGACAGACAGAGAAACAGCAGCTAGAGGCTGGTGAGTCAACTTATCTTTTTCAGGCCTAAATCATATCCGATGATCATAAAATTGAGCAAGCCCTTTGCACCTTTTTCTTCTTTTTCTTCTGATTAGGGGGTTGAAGAACTACCTTTATGGCTGCATCAAAAACTGCCTTCACGTTCTGCAGTTCAAACATCAAACGTATTAACATCAGAAATGAAGAGTTTGTACACAACATTTCAATTAAAAAGCAAGATATTAATGCTGAACAAATACGTGCATACCTGCTGCGTTTTTGAACTGCACTCAACATAGGCAGGAGCCCCTATTTGTTTCCTTAATTCCTCCCCCTTCAGCAAGAAGCATAGTCGGACCAAATATAAGATAGAGTAGTGATATAGAGGATGAAAACTTGAGACCAATGATATAGCATAAGTCATGTCATTAAATGAATTGATGTATATAATATCACAGGTCCCAATAGAGCAAAAAGAGTCAATCATTAAATAATATAAGAGATACCTTTTAATATTTTAAATAACTTAACTCATGCCATGTCATTGGTCCAAAATTTTGGTACCATAAAATTCGTCCCTTTTATCATTATTCTATAAGGTAACATGACCTGGATGAATAGGAGACTTCAGAATGTAGTAATGTCTACCTGAGCTGTAGAAATGGGGACAGCACCAGCTGGGTTTCCCAAAAAAGATGGATCATCTCGGAGATCTGCAAATTTAAAATATCAGACAGCATAAGAATATATTTCATGAAACAGAGAAAATTCAAAAGGCAATCAGTTACAAGAACATCCAAATAATTTTAGAATAAAAATTCTGCAAGATTTGAGTCATCACCAACTCAATAAAGTAATACAAAGGCATAGTATGTAGCCAGCAATAAAGTAGACCACCTAAATCAAAAGTAAAGCAAACGAAGCCATAAATATATAGGCTGCAGAAAAATGTATGGGACACAACAACATTACTATATGGAAAAAAACAGCAATGCTAGAAAGATAATGTTTTTTGTACAATGATTATTATGGTTTAAACAATATGATGTGGCGTGAAACAAGTGGATGCATGATTACATGTCAATTCACACATGGCCCCCAGTAAAAAGAATCAATCACAAAATGCCACATCATGTTGTACAAACCATTGTATACGAGAACATTGTACCTCTATCATTTTTGAAAAACAAACATGACTAATTAAAAGCATATACTAGCAAAATATCATATCATAGTCATTAATGAGACTGAGTGCAAGGGACTAAGTATCATACCAAGCTTTGTACCAACAAGAATAATTGGAACACCAGGAGCATAATGTTTCAATTCTGGAATCCACTGTCAAAAATAATAATAATAATAATAATCAGCACACAGATACAGACATCACACGCTAAACAAATTTATCATCCTAGAAGAGTAAACAGTCACTAGTTAAAACCTTCTTGGCAACATTTTCGTAACTGGCCTTGCTGATGAGAGAAAACGCAAGAATAAAGACATCTGCCCCTCGGTAGCTCAAAGGTCTTAACCTATTATAATCCTCCTGACCTGTTCACGTGTAATGAACTCAAGCTCAATGCAATGAAGAACTTAAACTTCCAAAAATTATTGAAGAGATTTAATATGCAAGTTCCAAATTACCAGCAGTATCCCATAAACCTAAGTTGACAGTGTTTCCATCAACAACCACATTTGCACTGAAATTGTCAAAAACAGTTGGGACATAGTCCTGCTCCCATCATAATTACCAAGTTATGCATTAATAATTAGGGATGAGTAAAATACTGAAATTATTTGATGAAATAATGCAGAAATTTAGAAATTCATTCCAAACAAAGAGAACACATCAGTAACTTTCCCACAAAACCTCAGGCCATAGACCTGAAGTTTAATTTTCAACCTAAACAAAATGACATAAGGCCATAAACCCTGCCTGCCTAAGTATAACCTTGCCACTAACTGCCGTCCGCATCAAATCGAGAAACAGAAAACAGAAAATAAACACATAAGAACTAGCCAAAGCATCAAATCTAAAGAATCCACCACCTATAGAAAGAATCGCCCAGTAAAGGCAAAATAATGATCAAAGCAAAAGGCCATCCTCATAAATAGACGGCTAAGGCTGCAAACTAGTAACAAAAGGATCTAGCCAAACCCGATCTGCCTATTATTAATTCTACATTTACAGCCAAATCAAAAGTTGCAAAAAACTAGAAAACAAATCTCATTCCCACGCTCAAATAATAACAAAATATGCATAATACAGTCCATAAATTCCTCTAAACTGAAGAGAAATGCCGCTAATTATCTACATCATGGATAAAGCGATCAGGCAACAAATATAACCAATCTATGCATAAG